ACACCGCGTACCACACCGCCGACCATCACCCGGTCATCAAGAGTCGCGTTGGACTTAAAAACAGAAACTAATAGATCGATTTTGTCCTTTGCGGTATAGATCAGGTAGTCCTATTCCCTGTGCAGAGATGGTACAGATGGCTGACAGAAGTTCCCTTGGACAGTCTTGGCAAAACACCTTAATAAAATAAGAGGTAGAGAAGAGAGCATTGAGCAGTTTAAAGTCTTTGAATCACATCAAAGAAAAACAAAAGATACTAAATAATTCAGTCTTAATTTTATAATTTATTTTTTGTTTGTTTTGTACCAAAAATAAAGAAAGAGCAACAAGTAAAATACTTGCAGCACTTATTTTATTATTTATTGAGAGTATTGTACCAAATTTTATTCTGTACATAAGGCAAGCTCAGCGCCCTCGAACCTTGCGCCCTAGTCTCCAACCTAGTTAGGCTGTGAGTAAATCTGGTCCTGATTTACACATGTATGTAAAACCATGTTGTTGATTACAATTTATTTAGACGCTTATGTGTATGTGAGTGTATTTTTACAATAAGTTGACCATGGTTTTGGCTTGGTTAAATGTACGCACACTACGTCTTTCTTTCTTTGTTGGTATGACGCGAAGTATTAAATTAATTTAACTTAATACAGCTTGAATTATCAGTTGTAATGTAATTACTGTACAGTACTGGCAAACATTGCATTGACGTTCGCGGCGAATAATGGATAGGCGCCTCCAACAAGTGACAAACATCGAACCGCTGCGTACCATCGCATATTATTTCCACTCCTTGTATTATTTCGTGCCATTGAGCGCAGGCGGTGACGTGTTGCATGAATATGAAACGATTTCAATAGAGACGTTGTCATACATCTGCAAGCCATTGATGGACGGGAGCCCTCTGTGACAGATACGCATCGGTAATACCGTGTTGTACATTGTTTCGAGCCTTGAACTAGTGCTGTTGAAGGAAGTATTGAGAGAAATCTCATGCAGCTGATTGGATAAAGGATTTATGGTCGTAATACTTTTCCGCACCGCGACCGTAACATTATTCAACGTATTGGATTTAAACTAGTTTGATACTGTTCTCTTGAAGATGTAGTTGATGGAAAAAAGAGACAACGATTCCTTCGTGATATAGTGTTCTGATTTTTTTAAATTAATAGAATTTAGACATTTGTATTAAGCCCCTTCAGTCATATAAACAATTTTTATATTATTTATCTATACAAATAAATCAAATTGTAGTGTCTGTTTGTAATGTCAAATTAACAGATTTTACTATGATATTTATTTTTACCATGAAAGTATAAACGGTACTCATGACAAAAAACAATTTTAAAATTTTTGTCTGTTTTTTATCTCAGAAACGTCAGGACCGATTTTGACGGGACTTTCACTGGCGTATAGCTTTTAGAAAAATAAGAGTGCCGCGCAATAAATGTAAAACCCATGAAATTGTGAACAAAATTTTATTCAAAAAAAAAATTCCGCTGGGTTTCTTGCTGGTTCTTTCTAGGTCAAACCACTTTTTTCCGAACCAGTGATAAAAGTAAGCAATGACTTTTGAGATTGAGAGGTTCTATGGGCAGCTGTACACATCATCGTTGGAGCCACACGCAAGTGTGAGTAACGATCTAAGAGCAAGTCTTATCCTACACTATTCCGATGATATCCCGGACGTCAGTCTGAGCGAGATTAGAATGGCTCTCCAGCACCTTAAAAACGGCAGGGCCCCAGGCGAGGATGGAATTACAGCGGAGCTTCTGAAAGCGGGTGGAACACCGGTACTTGAAGTCCTTCAGAAGCTCTTCAATTCCGTCCTCCTTGGTGGCAATACTCCGGAGGCGTGGAGCAGAAGTGCGGTGGTCTTGTTCTTTAAGAAAGGCGACAACGCTCTCTTGAAGAACTACAGACCGATTTTCCTTCTGAGCCGCGTATACGTGCTGTTTTCGAGAGTCATTACGAATAGTCTCGCACGCAGACTCGACGACTTCCAGCCTCCCGAACAAGCCGGTTTCCGAAAAGGCTTCAGTACCATAGACCACATACATACCCTGCGGCAGATTGTACAGAAGACCGAAGAGTACAATCTACCACTTTGCCTGGCGTATGTGGACTATGAGAAAGCCTTTGATTACGTCGAAATTTGGGCGGTGCTACAGTCCCTTCAGCGGTGCCAAGTTGACTGTCGGTATATCGAAGTGCTGAAGTATTTGTACAGTAGGGCTACGATGGCTATCCGAGTACAGAACCAGAGTTCGAAACCTATCCAACTGCAGAGAGGTGTAAGACAGGGTGACGTTATATCCCCGAAACTCTTCACAGCTGCGTTGGAAGACGTTTTCAAGCTACTGGACTGGAAAGGATACGGTATTAACATCAATGGCGAGTACATCACTCATCTTCGATTTGCCGACGATATAGTCCTTATGGCAGAATCACTGGAGGACCTTAGCACTATGCTCAATGACCTCAATGGTGTCTCCCAACGGATAGGTCTTAAGATGAACATGGACAAAACAAAGATTATGTTCAATGTCCATGTCACACCTATGCCGGTAGTTGTGGGGAGCACTATGCTCGAAGTTGTTGACGAGTACGTTTACCTGGGACAAATAGTCCGACTAAGTAAGTCCAACGTTGACCGAGAGGTCAATCGACGGATTCAACTCGGCTGGGCAGCGTTCGGGAAATTACGACACATCTTCTCGTCAGGTATACCTCAATCTCTGAAAACTAAAGTGTACAACCAGTGCGTGTTGCCAGTGATGACTTACGGATCAGAGACGTGGTCCTTCACTGCTGGCCGTATGAGGACACTCAAGGTCGCTCAGCGAGCTATGGAGATGGCTATGCTCGAAGTTTCTCTGCGTGATAGACTCAGAAATGAGGATATCCGCAGTAAAACTAGAGTGACCGATATAGCCCAACGGATTAGTAAGCTGAAGTGGCAATAGGACGGCCATATAGCTCGAAGAACCGATAACCGATGGGGAAGAAAGGTTCTCGAGTGGCAGCCTCGTACCGGTAGGCTTATTGTAGGGCGACCCCCCACTAGATGGAGTGACGACCTGGTAAGACATGCAGGAAGTCGATGGCTGCAGGTGGCTCAGGACCGTGCTTTGTGGCATTACTTGGGGGAGGCCTATGTTCAGCAGTGGACTTGTGAAGGGCTGTAATGATGATGATGATGATGATGATGACTTTCAATAAGTATTACATATAATCTATATTGAATAAAAATGATTCTATTCTATTCAAATAGCGAAGTATAATAATAAATTACTAAAACTATGCGTGCAAGATCGCGGACACAGCTAGTAATATATTAAAAATCCCAACGTTTCTCTATTGCGATATTTACATTTATTTTTTTAATTTATATTTATTTACGAATTACTGTACGAACACATATTCCACCTGATTGTAAATGGATACTGTCTACATTTATCCTCGATTAAGAATCAACATGTAGAAGATGCTTCATCACCCCTGAGGAATAAGATCGAATGCTCGTATCCAGTGAAAAGAATCTCCGGTTTTCTCACTCACCATACGAAACACAACAGCATTAAGCGGCTATTTTACGCTGGTATTCTGTGAGAGCGTGGTTTTACCACGTGCCGTGCCGACCATTCGTTATACAGCCATAATATATCTGCAGTATAGCTCTACGACGTAAATATTGACCCTATTTCCAGGGCTAAAGGCTGTCAAAAGCTTGAATGTCATGTTAATAATTAGATCAAAAGCTTTATACTACGGGTATTTTTAAACTTTACCACACGTATTTCCAATATTTTATTTGACCCTGAGCTATATTCTCTTAAATAAAAAGTAATGTTTAAAATCAGTTCACAGTCGGCGAAGATATCGAGTAACATTTAAACAAAAAAAGAAACGTGCACATGAATTTAGATCCTCTTCCTTTTCTAAGTCGGTTAAAAAATAAATTAATGACTTAATATCCATTTTATATAAAAGTAGGCAAACGAGCGTACGGTCCACCTGAGTGTATGGTAGTGTAATTATCCTACAATCCGGTTTTGTAAGCATAACAACAAGACGTATATATGAACAATATATGAAATTGAACCAGTTAGTATCAACCTCCCGGAGGTTGATACTAACTGGTTCTAGTTTTTAAGTTAGCGTAAAGTTATATCTAGCATACGTCTTACTCCTGGGCTTTCACGACTTTGGGACTGGGTAGTTGTCTCTTAGCATCACTTTACCATCATTATCATCATTACAGCCCTTCACAAGTCCACTGCTGAACATAGGCCTCCCCCAAGGAATGCCACAAAGCACAGTCCTGAGCCACCTGCATCCATGGACTTCCTGCATGTCTTACCAGGTCGTCACTCTATCGAGACGCCCTTTACTTCGCCTTGAGCGACTTTGAGCTTCCTCATACAGCCAGAAGTAAAGAACCACGTCTATATCCATAGGTCATCACTGGCACCAAGTATTGGTTGTATAATCTAGAGAAGATGTGTCGTAATCTTCCGAACGCTGCCCATCCGAGTTGAATCCGTCGATTGATCTCTCCGTCAAAGTTGAACTTAGTTAGTCGGACTATTTTACACTCGTCAACAATTTTGAGCTTAGTTCCCCTAGCAACTACAATATTTGTGCAATGGACAGTAACCATGACCTATTTTATCCATGTCATTGAGCCATCATCACCATCTCGTAACTACGTCTGCAATATAAAATAAATTAAAACTAAAATTACAGCCTATATACCTACTTCGCGCTGCTTTACACAGGCCTCTATTGAGAGTTATGGAACAGTAAGTTCACCAAGCTCCTGTATGTGATAACAGACCCCTTTTATAAGGCCCATATCTTTAACATACTTTATTCCTTAGACACGCAGATCACCTACCGTTGCTATTAACTCTGATGATCGAATAGAGGTTGGTCCACTTGAGCGACTGAACACTACGTTACATGCCTATTTTGTAAAGATAATATATCTTTAAACTTACTTGATATCTATGTGAAGAATTTTCATGTCCATTGCGTGTACGGTGGTAAAGACGTTGGTTGCTCCATGCACGACGCATTCACGTGTTTCGGGCATAGCGAGCGGTGTGCACACCGCAAGGAATACCGGCTCGTTACGGCTGCAAAGCGGCAGGTAGGAGACGTAGTGACCGCGGACGAGGACTACCTAGGGACATAGGTATAAAATGACTATAATTGCAAATTAGAATTAGTATCACTAATTATTAACTATCACTTCACGAATGTTAAACTAAAATAAGGTACTGGCTAATTACGTTAAACTATGAGGATATTAAAAATCTGTAATAGGTGAACTTCAGTCAGAGAAGGGTACGGATTTGTGTAGCTTGTACTAAACTCTCATAGCCTAGAATCGCTTTCTTACTCTTCAAATCAGAACACAGCGGAAGTTGGTACCTACAATAACGGTCTTTTAGGCAGTAACGGCCACCCAGCGGCGGCTTTCGAGTATCTACAACCCCATATCATCTCGTGGGTGTCGTTATAGGCGACAGAAAGGAATAATACGTTTTGAGGGCATCAGCAAGAACAGCTCGAAATAATAAAAAACTAGACTCATCGTTAGGCCGGATTTAAAAAAAGAACCTGTCAGCCAAACGTGACAACTATGGAAAAATCCTACGAGGCAACCTATAGGGAAGGCCTGTGTTCACCATTTAATAGACTATAAAGACGATAAAATGAATAATGTTATAAGTGCATTATAATCGTATTTTAATTTTCGTACGTAACTACATAATTACATAAGTGAATATTAATATTAGGAAGTATCTTATTCTATGCAAACGATTACAAATCTACTTTATGTTTCAAAACGCCCTAAATCAAGAATTTTACTTTCACCGTAACTGGAGCAAATAACTTATGTTCCTTCACGGCTGTCACATTTAATGCATACATTTTATTTCTGATCATACAAAAAGTGGAATATGACGTAACAGACAACTCAAGGTCGTAACTTTGACATGAACTGAAAAGCATTTCTATTATAACTTTTGACGGTTGTACGGAACTCTGATACCAAATGCATTGACTAAGGTTTCCAACAATACGAATATTAGCATAGGATATTTCACTTAAGGCTTCGAATTCAATTATTTAAAGTTTGTATGTGATCCCAATAAACCTTTATATAAAATAGTGATGAATGTGACACCACACTCATTCACACACACGCACACACGCTCGCTCGCACACAGTAAGTACAGCACGTACTCTTTCTATTTTTGTGTGTACTGAAATTTATTACTGTTACATAAGTAGATTATTAATTTAATACGCTTTGTATTGTGTGCCTTATGCGCAAAGCGCGTAAGTATGTTCTACTAGCGTCTAAAAAGCTAGAATCCAACGTTTTGTCGCATTAAATCGTATCTAACAATCGTATTGAACATATAATAAATATAAATAAAATAATATAAATTGTCAGAAAAATAAATGATTGTTTAACTTATTTTTATTAAATCAATTAATAGATTTTTTACATTTAAGTGGTTTAGTGGCTTATGGTGTACGTCAAGTACGCATAGAAGGGTAAACACGATAACCTTTGGAAATATCAATTGTTAAACTCAATCTATTTTTTAATATCTTCATCTATTATGTGAGAAGCCATGGAATGTTATCTAAGGTTATCTGTGAAAACTTCTGTGTATTTAAAATACTTAAAAAAAATTATGTATATCAACAGCGCTTAAGACATGCACATTTGGATTTACCAAAAGTTTTTTTTCATCTGTTCAAATCTTGCTAAAAATTTACTATAAGTGCCTATGGGTGCCTTGACTACTTGCTATCAGATAGACTGCGAAATTACTTATCACTCTCGGTCAGGATAACAGAAAGCAACAAGGAGGACTGAAAAGTTAAGTTAACAATGGCTCATTAGGTTGCTCTTTAGTTCCTCATTCCTTAGTGTTATATTTATTAGTTTCTTACCGAAATAATTAGTTTTTTGATCAATAAAAGAGTAATCACAAACTATAAATATTATGATTTATTTTAGTGATGTTACATTACGTGTTATACCGATATCAACAATCCATTTTCACATAAAATGGAATCGAGGTTAAACAAAGTGGCTAAGTGGTTGATTTTATTATCCTGATTTTCCTTGAATGTTTGGTTCTCTTACTTAATTTAAAAGGCGTTGCAGGCGTGGCGGATTGACATTCTTTAAAGTTTTAACAACAATAGATAGATAAGTTCGACACCATAGTTCACAGTTCAACCGCTCACCGCTCGAGAAGCGATCTTCGATCCGGATTTATTCGGCCTTGGACGATTTATTTTATTGTATTGTACACTTTCGTATTCATAGTATAGATTTATTAACTATATACAACGTGTTACAGACCACAATATAACATTATTAAACTTTTCTCTAACTTTTTCAAGTGTTAACTTTCACACACGCGGTGCACTCTGTTAATTAACGCCCGTGTTTGTGGTGACTGAATAGTACGTACTCAATAAGTTTTGAGATGCTCGAAATTTAAAAATGGAACGCACCCGTGTTATATGTTTCTAAAAAGCAAATTTATTTAAAAATAGAACTCCATAAGCCAATTGCTCAATATTTAAAAAAAAAAACAAAGTTCTATTAATTTTCCTGCAACGCTTCCCGCGCTTTTCATTTAAAGCGTTGGATCTTAACCGTGAATATTTGCGCGCTATGATTTATTCATCATCATCATCATCATCATCACAGCCCTTCACAAGTCCACTGCTGAACATAGGCCTCCCCAAGTAATGCCACAAAGCACGGTCCTGAGCCACCTGCATCCATCGACTTCCTGCATATCTCATCAGGTCGTCACTCCATCTAGTGGGGGGTCGCCCTACACTACGCCTACCGGTACGAGGCTGCCACTCGAGAACCTTTCTTCCCCATCGGTTATCGGTTCTTCGAGCTATATGGCCGGCCCATTGCCACTTCAGCTTACTAATCCGTTGGGCTATGTCGGTCACTCTGGTTTTACTGCGGATATCCTCATTTCTGAGTCTATCACGCAGAGAAACTCCGAGCATAGCCCTCTCCATAGCTTGCTGAGCGACCTTGAGCGTCCTCATACGGCCAGCAGTGAAGGACCACGTCTCTGATCCGTAAGTCATCACTGGCAAGAAGCACTGGTTGTACACTTTAGTTTTCAGAGATTGAGGTATACCTGATTTATTATGATTTATTATGATTTTAAATTTGGTTTAACCGAACAATTAAGTTTACAACGGTTACAATCAGTATTAGGGGACTCAGCTCCATCACGCGCAACAATTTTAGGTGGTTTGCTGAATTCAAAAGTGAGACTGATGTCTCAAGTATGGATTGTTTTAAATTGAAGTTGTATGCAGATTTACACTGGCTGCAATATCCACCTATCATCAGGTAGGCTTACAAATGTGCTTGTGACTTATTGTGAAATAAAATATAGTGGTGCGTCTGGTTATATTTACGTAATATATTTGTTTCTTTGAGACAGTTATTCATAGCTATACTAGGATCAGCATGGTGCAAGTTCTTGACACATTATATAATTATTTAAAGACCAAAATGATTTACATTCACAATGTACTTTGGGTTAGTGCAAAATAATACTAAATCTAGACCCGATAGGGGGCGAGTATAGGTCGAGTTGTTTATACATTTTATACTAACACTTATTTAAAAAAGTCCGTAGTTATTTCGGAAGTGCAATTAGTGTGGAGTGTAGCTTATTGCGACATCTACCGGAAAGGACAGTACATTGTATGGCGAGCCAGCTAGTATTAAAATAAAAATTGTACATACATGAACAGTAAAGAATTCTACAACAACTTATGTTTGAATTACTTGTCAAAATTGAGAAAAAATATCCTTAGGTAGCTTCACTATAGGTTGTGTGTATTGTATTACTTTTATTTTATGCTTAGTACTTAATGTTTAATTATAGAATACAATTTAGTTTTTTTTTTCAATCTTTAAACATATTGTGGTTGCAAGCTTTTAATATGTTTTAGATATCTGTGGAAACTTCATTGGTTTTAGGATTACTTTTATATGTTTTATAATGTATTTTTTATTGTACTGTATGTTTCCCTGAAAAAGCAAATAAATAAATAAATCCTTATTAACAATTAATCTAGAGTACTGTTGTCGATTCTTATCATAAATACTTTATCACTTAATCTTTGATTTTATAAACTTTTTCAGAATTTATTACCATTTACTTAAAATAAGGATATGAGACATATGAGCGATTTCTCTTAATTCATAGTTCGCGGATCTTTCGAATTTAATTGAATTATATTATCAATATTCACATTACATCACCAGTTTTTTAAGTACGTAGCTGCCGATGGGTACTTTAAAGTACAAAGTATCCAGCAAGCATTCCTTTGAAGCATATAATAATTACCGCAATAATAAATTATTTAAGGAATCCATAATTAAAAATATCAAGGAGGGGGAAAAGAAAGGACTTTCAGTATATGAATAAGTTACAAATACTAGACACACTCGTAAAACTATAAATACGACCGAATGAGCACTATACCAGAGTGCAATGTGGTTACGCAAAAAGTTTAATCTACTTAGTAACGTATATTCAAATGATGCGAGATTATATCTGCAAGCAGGAATAGAGGACTGATTTTTTTTTAATTGTAAAATATCAATTGTTACCACACGGGAAAGTTCAATGACTTTATTCAAGTGTGGCAAGTGTTGGTTGATAATATACAAAATATTTGGTAGAGAAATCACTATGAACCTCATTCCTACGGGTCAGTCATTTTCATTTTGGTCGTTTTCCAACGACTGCAATGAAAAAAGATTACGATAAGTAAACTTGTATTTGTAAGTAATATACGGAAAATTACGTATCTACTTATTCGGCTTTTAAATATAGAGTAACGAATGGGGCGAGAATTAAAATGAGAGTAAAAACAGAAAAGTGAACCAATATATTAACCAGTTGGCGTGGTTTATACCGATTTAAAGAAGGCTTAAAGCTGTCTGAAATATTACAAAAATCATAAAAAATATATAATGTTCGAAGAACAGAAAAATAACTCATGCCATCATTAAATACGAGTAGTTTACACAAAATAGCGATATATACGAGGCATTGCAACTTAGTCCTCAAGGGTGAAAATATTATCTATATT